CCATTTTGTGTCTCATATTTTTTTTTTTAAGGTGGTCCTTCCAATAATAGTAGTTCTAGCAAATGCACCTGAATAACAAAGATATTTTAGAAAAGACAACACCTATTTATATCAAATAACTAACTAAACTAATTTCCTTAATGTACTCAAATTAGTCAAGTAACTCTTATATTAATGATCAGAGGCAGTATTAAGCGAATTTTTCATCAAGAGATTATAGTTTCTTATGCAAATAATTAAGGGAAAATCCCAGAAAAAGCCCTTGGAATATATTAAATCCCAGATTGGGTCCTTAAATTTTGAAAATGACAGAATGGGTCATTGACCCAATCTGTCATTTGTGAAATTCAGGCGAATTGACATTTTTGCCCTTGAGCAAAAGTGAGTAGTTATTCTCTAAACAAATCTAGGTAACGCTTACGCTGTTCTAGTGATTACAAGATTCGTTGTAGTTAATAATAAGGTACCTGACAATAATAAGATACCTGACTATGAAAAAATGAGTAGTTATTCTCTACACAAATCTAGATAATGCTTACATTGTTCTAGTGATTACAGAATTAGTTGTAGTTAATAACAAGACACCTGACTATGAAAAAGTGAGTAGTTATTCGCTACACGAATCTAGGTAACACCTAAACTCTTGTAGTGATTCCTTGAATCATTGTAGTGAATGAATAAATAAGGGCAAAATTGTCAATTCGCCTGAATTTCACAAATGACAGATTGAGTCAATGACCCATTCTGTCATTTTCGAAATTTAAGGACCCAATCTGACATTTTTTATATTCCAAGGACTTTTTTTGGGATTTTCCCAATAATTAAAACTGATATTTTAAAAAAATCAACAAGTATTTTTTTTTACAAATAACTAACTTGATTAATTTTTTTTAATTTTTTGCAAATTAGGCATCTAGTTCCCACATTTATAATAGGAAAGAGTATATAAAAATTTATATGAAATATTGACTTTCTATTTTAGAAAATAATCCTACATATATTCCCAATTCCAATCAGAGTCTTACACACACACACACACATGTACATGAGAGAAAAAGCTAAGGCATCACGGAACATTAACACAGTGCGAGACGAGACTGGGAATCCAACTTTGCATCCCCATTATTTATATACATCTGCCATATAGGTTTCATAGAGTGATGACTAAATTAATTAATTAGATGCTCTTGGCAAAAAAAAAAAAAATTAGATGCTCAACACTCAAATACGTCTTATTAATCGACTAAACGAAAGCAATATAATATAAGACCTGTTTAGAATAACTTATAATCGTGACTTATGAAATAGGAGATAAACATGTGAGAGGAGTTTTATCTTGACTTACATGAAATGTACTTATAAATAATTTTAATCATAATAACAAACAGGGTCATAATTGTATGAGGAAAGAAAACCCTCCATTTATAACGCAACTTTTAAAAAATCATCACAAGGACATGTCTTAACCATAACTTTTATATTTAATATGGGTATTATTTCTATAAACAAAATACAGAGAGAAAGCCAATCCATATGAGATAGAGTTTGAGTTTTAAAAAATAAAAAATTATACATTATTTGAATCCAAAATAATTGACAGCATAAGATACCAAATAGTCGGCAAACATATGAACACACACAGTGAATCTCCAAAGGAGAAAATGAAAGTAGTATATGTATATGTCATCACAAAATTCCATAAGAATCGTCTTATATATCAGTTCAAAATTGAAAATAATAAATCAATCCAAAAATGTCATAATCATCAGCAAGGTACTATAAGAAAGGAATAAGCTTAATTAGTCAAATGGCCAATAAAAGGGGGTGAAATTAAACAAGAAAGCTAAGTGAACAAGAGATGATATAAATATTTCATGTTAATATATATTATTATTATAAAAGAAATGAATGAATTTGTGGTTGAGACAAATTAAAAGGTACAAATGAATGACACTTAATTATCTTAGGAATCTTATCATTAATCAAATAAAGAGAAACAGTGTGTGATTCCTTAAGGAACCCCATCTCCCACATTACATGGTTCTCAAAACTTCCCTTCTCACTATTTTCCCATTCATCCCATATGCTTCTTCCCTGTCGGCTATGCTAATAAACAGTTTTGTTCAAAACGACAAGTTAAGATCTTAATTTATAAAACTTGCATTGGGAGATGATTGGATTATTAGCTTGATTAGATTATTAGCTTATTTTAAGTATTTTGCAATAGCTATATGAAATAAATATGTAGGAAGAGTTTTACTTCATAAAATGCGAAAGATTTTTTAAAAAAATTATTTTGTGGGTTGCCAAACAAGCAGATTTGTGCCAATTTGGATTTGTTGTCACGAAGTAATGATTTTATGTTGTACAAAATAACTATGTGAAATGAGTTTATCTCTTAAAGCTAAAAACATATATTTTATCTATTCCCAAAGAAACGCTGAGAAATGAATATTTTTTATCATATCTATTTATTTATATTCGTTCGAGTGCTTGCAAAACGTCGCAATTATTCTGCCAAACTTATTAAGGGCCAGAAATTAAATACAGAGAGCATGGAAATGAGGAATTGACCCCAAATAGTTGATTTTCTTTCCCTTTCTTTCATGTAATTTACTTTCTTATTAAATGGACGGCTATCACATGGAGAATATGGCACTCTTTACTTTGCTTATGATTTTGAGGGTTCTTTATGCTACTATATATATATATATAAATGTATATGTATATATCAAAACATAATCACATGGAGGGGAGACAATATCATGTTATCGTACTAAACTTCTCAAAAGAAGGTGCATGAAAATCTGTAACCAAATTTCGTTATCGTCCATTCATATAGAAAAAAAAATGTTTAATTCTGTTGCTATTCATCATCTAGTTGTATGCGTTTCCTTTTATTGAGAAATGACAGACCAACCATAGATGTCAATCCAAGAACAATTTTAAATTGTCTTGAGACCAAGGTTGGCAGCTTCAAAAACGTCGTGAGCAAAAAGGAAAGGCCATGGAAATGACACATAAATATCTTTTTTTTAAAAAAAAAATTAGATATGATACCAACAAGTTGTTGGTCGGTTGATTGAGATAATGAGCGGTGTCGTCTTTGTTAAAAAATAAAAAATAAAAAGTTCTTTGAATATTAGAAAATGTACTTGTTAAGAGGGTTCTGACCTTAAATATTTCTAGCCTGAATTAGCAATAATAATGATTACTAAAATTTTGCGAAATAAGTTGAAAGAATAATTGATGAGTTTTAACAGTAAGGATTACAATTGCTTGTCCTATTTGTTTGTTTGTTTGTTGTTTTCTTTGAATCAACTTCGTCTAGTTGATGAAACGGTGGAAAAGCCATCAAAGTCACTCTCCAATCCACAGTATCATCTAAATAATTAATTAGTGCTCCCCACATTTTCATATCCTCTGACAATAATTTTGGGACTTTTATATATTTATTAGAATATACTTAAATATATTTTTATATTATTTTTGCAAGCACATCAATGTATATATTGAATCAACTTATAACTTGTAATATATACAAGCTAGTTAAGTAATATTATTAAGATTTTGATTAGAAAATTGGTCGTAATGGATACAAGCTAAGTAAATTAAACGATTCCAAGTCTTATGTAATGAATTTGGACGTATCGTGGCAAAATCAAAATGGTCGTTTTGGTTAAAAGCATAAGAAGACATGAAATGAAATGCAGAATAAAATTAAAAAGCGTATCCATCAGGTAACGAAAAATCTCAAAGGGCATATCCTGAGAGACCCACTTGATGGGCTATTACTTCCATTCCATATTTTCTTTTCTTTAGGGTCTGACGCACGCCGAAAAATATTACTATTATTTTTAATTAAAAATTATATTTATCTTTCCAATATTTTAGCCTTGCGGAAATAACAAGGTCGCCGTGTATAATGGGAGAAAAATTACAGTAAATAATGCTGGCCCATATAAGTTAATTTATACTCCTCGGTCCTTAATATAATATTTATTTAATTAATTTGATTAGATTAAGAAATTAGGTAAGTTAGTTAATTTTAAGAAATATGACATGTTTTTCCTAAAACACCATAATCATCTTCCTTGATATCCTCTCTTCCTCTTTTACTTGATTATAGTTGAGGGAGTATCCATACGGGTAATTTAAAAAAAACTGATCAATATGAGAAATAGGTCTTATATTTAGGATAAAAATCAATTCAATAATTAAGTTCTATATTATATTAAAGACCTATATAAATATTTGATGTGACAATGCACAAATGTACGACATATTATCACTATGTTGTGCATAGCACGTAGTACAAATTAATAACAACAATCCTTCCATTATCACTAGTAAGCCAAAACAAGATGTAGTAGTGCTCCTGTATTTAGCTTTATTGTATTGATCATCACTGCAAATTGCAACACTCACTTTTCTTTTGTTTGTCTGGTTCTTATGGTGTTCTTTTCTATCAATTGAAAGATTATTAGGGGCTTCAAAAAGATATGGGATTGTGATGTTAATAATTTAGTGTTTAGATATATAAATTAAACCTTAAATTATCCCTCCCTATGAGCAAGAGTTTAGATATATGCCCTAGAGAATATTCCACAACTACCTAGTTTTGGTTATAATTTCTAAGGCTCTCCCAAAATTTCACATCCCCATAGCATGCAAAGTAAATTTACAAAAGTGCATTAACTTTTTTTTTCCCCAAAAAAGAATGGGACAGCGAGCTGAAAATTAAAGGTGATATGCTCACAACTTTTATATATAATCTTATGGATATCATTTATTGTCTTGGAATATTTCGCCTTTTACACTAACTTGGACTTTTGAATTTATTTCAAATAAAGTGAAGAAAAACGCGGTATAGACACACAATAATAAGTGAATTATTTAATTTTTTGTGTCAATCTTTCTCCTATAGCTTCCACTTGAAGAAAGATCCCATGAAGACCTATATATATGTGTGTGTGGGTGTAAGTGCTCCTCATGGAAGGTAACAAGTGAGGTTAAAAGGAGATTAATTTGACTCGACTCTCTCTCCTCCCCTTCAACCATCCTCATCATCTCTCTCTCTCTCTTCCTCAAAGACTGGAAATTTCTCATTCTATTGCTTCAAACCCAGAAATGACTTCTGATGATTCTCTTCACTCTCCTCACCAATCCTTACCAAAACTCACTTTGTACCCCATAACCTTGAAGGTAATTAAATTTATTAATTAATGCCATTGATCCCTTCCACGAAATAAAACCAAACCTGCCATTATATATAGATATATACTGATTATTAATTTATCTGGTTTAACTTCTGTATATTTTGCAGTTTGAGGAGGTGGTGTATAAAGTGAAACCAGAGCATAAAGGGCTGTGCTGGGGAAGTTCGTGGAGTTGCAGAGAGAAGACGATACTGAATGGAATCACAGGGATGGTATCGCCAGGTGAGATTCTGGCCATGCTGGGTCCTTCTGGGAGCGGCAAAACGACACTTCTCACAGCTCTTGGAGGTCGTTTAAATGGCAGATCATTATCAGGCAAAATCACATACAACAACCAACCCTTCTCAGGCTCCATCAAAAGAACGACAGGTTTTGTGGCTCAGGACGATGTTCTCTACCCACATCTCACTGTCTCTGAAACCCTAATCTTCACCGCACTTCTCAGGCTTCCCAATAGCCTCACCAACACCGAGAAGATGAAACACGTTGAGAGAGTTATCGCAGAACTTGGCCTCGCACGTTGCAGAAACAGTATCATTGGAGGAGCATTGGTGAGAGGCATATCAGGAGGAGAGAAGAAGAGAGTGAGTATAGGCCAAGAAATGCTCATAAATCCCAGCTTGTTGCTGCTAGATGAACCCACGTCGGGGTTGGATTCCACGACGGCTCAGAGAATATTGACCACCGTGAAGGGGCTGGCTAGCGGCGGAAGGACGGTGGTCACCACCATCCACCAACCGTCGAGCCGTCTGTATCATATGTTTGACAAGGTGGTGGTGCTGTCGGAAGGATGGAGTATCTATAATGGACCAGCTGCGGCCGCCATGGAGTATTTTTCTTCTATTGGTTTCTCCACATCCATCACTGTCAATCCTGCTGACTTCTTGCTTGATCTTGCTAACGGTAATTATAAATTAGTACACTCTTATCATCTTGTTTTTTTCCTTGAAACTGAGAGTTGGGTGGAATTTTCTTTTAGTAAATCATACATCTCTCCTTAATTTATTATTTAGAAAAATCTCCTTCTTAGTTATCAGAAAAAAATTATATTTCTAAAATATAAGAAATGTCAACATGATTAATTTTAGTAAAACTCATAAAAAATTGTGTAGTTTATTTTTTTTAAAGTTAGGTAAGATTGTGTGTGTATTTCAAAATAGAGAAGGCATGCGTAATTTTAATATAAATTCAAATATATTTGTATTGATTATAAAAATAAATAAGATATTTGCATACATTATTTTTAGAATTAAAAAAAATGATTGGTGTAAATTTTATTCCTCTACTCAAGTACAGTATAGTTTTAAACATGTATGCTCAACAGAGAGTCAAGGAGTATTAGATGATGGGGATAGAGTTGGAATTTAATTACAGGGATTGCCCCTGACTCCAAGCAAGCAAGTCAACAGAGTGAGAGCTCGGAACAAGAGAGGGAGCAAACCAGAGAAGTTCTCGTTTCTGCTTATGAAAACAACATTGCTCCAAAGTTGAAACTTGAGATTTCTAGCCACAACTTCACCAAACGTGCTTCATCAAGTAGCTCCTCTTTCTTCTTCTTCCACTGCTACGTACATACACATTTGTTAATGTTACTTCGGTCCTAAATGATTAATTAAGTCACCTTTCTCTGCTGACCTGGTTCAGGAAATGACATAGCAAAAGCAGAGCAATGGTGCACAAGCTGGTGGTATCAGTTCATAGTGTTGTTACAAAGAGGGATCAGAGAACGAAGATATGAAGCCTTCAATGGATTGAGAATATTCCAAGTCATAAGTGTTGCTTTCCTTGGTGGACTCTTGTGGTGGCATACCCCAGAATCTCACATCCAAGACAGGGTATGTTTAAAGTACATATTTGCTTGTCTTTCTATCAAAGGCTTTTAAGTCAATTTGATAGGACTTACCTTAAAACTATATGCCTTTCATTCATTCTCTAATTAGTTGATCTGTGACTTTGTTTCGTTGATGAGATAACTAAAACGAGGATTTTAATGGGGTTTCCGCATTGATAATACAGGTAGCATTGCTGTTTTTCTTCTCTGTTTTCTGGGGATTTTACCCTCTGTACAATGCAGTTTTCACTTTCCCTCAAGAAAGAAGAATGCTTATCAAAGAGCGATCCTCAGGAATGTATCGTCTCTCTTCCTACTTTCTGGCAAGAACAATAGGAGATCTGCCACTAGAACTTGCACTTCCCACTCTATTTGTGTTCATAATCTACTGGATGGGAGGCCTTAAGCCTGATCCCGTGACCTTCATTCTCTCACTAGTCGTTGTTCTGTACAGTGTTCTTGTGTCACAGAGTCTGGGCTTAGCATTTGGAGCTATTCTAATGGAGATTAAGCAGGCCACGACTCTAGCTTCTGTCACAACCCTAGTGTTCCTCATTGCTGGAGGCTACTACGTTCAACAGATCCCCCCATTCATAGCTTGGCTCAAGTACTTAAGCTATAGTTATTACTGTTACAGGCTGCTTCTGGGTGTTCAGTACGATGAAGATGATTACTATGAGTGCTCCAATGGGGTTTTGTGCAGAGTCGAAGATTTCCCTCCCATTAAATCAATGGGTTTGAATCATTTGTGGGTGGATGTTCTCATGATGGCTCTCATGTTGGTGGGTTATCGACTGGTTGCTTATTTAGCACTACACAGAGTGAGGTAGAAGCAGAATACAGATCCCGACACAGCTTCCTCAGCTCCAACGTTTTTGTCCTTCAATTGATTTCAAATCACTAATGATAGAGATTTAGGCCATCCACGCGGCTCATGGATAGTTGGATGCCTAACGCCGCGTGATGATGCTTCGAATGTATCTTCTCCTGTACTTGATATAAGAACTAAATGAAAAGTTTCTTTTGGTTTTAAATAGAAGACCTCGATCCATTTTGTCTATCAAAATACCATTTTAATACATATGATAAAAAATAATAGCTTCAAAATATTAAGATGCATTTGTTAATGACTAATTTAATTAATTTTCTTAGCATTCACAAATTAATTATTATCTAACATGTACATTAAGTATGCAAGTTGGTATGTGAGATAACAAGGAGGACATTCAGAAAAACCAGTGACAGTTTTAATCCATCGATGGAATTCTTGGGTCAAGTTTTATTCACCTGATCCTAGTTGCACTGTCGTAAAAAAGATCATAATTATATAACTATATTTTCAGTTTTTTTACTAGTTTTTTTTAATGTTTTTTGCTTAATTATTTGTTTATTTATTTCAATTTCCAAGTTTCAAAATAAGCAGAATGAGGAATTCAATTCTGGATCAGTGAGGAAACCACAAATTTGTTTATGCATGCATGATTTCAGTCAATTGAGAGAAATTTTGCTGGCTGTTAGCGTGAAAGGATTTTTATCTCGTAAAATATTAAAAAGCATATTTTTAGGAGAATTCAAACAATCACCAAATGGCTTTTCCAAACTGTACACTCAGAATTTTGCCCCAAAAAAAAAATTGCACTCAGAGATCAGAACTCATTGCTAAGTTCGGAAGGCTTGATTTGGACTTGATTTAGAAATTTAAAAAAAAACGTAAAATTAAAGAGAAAAGATGGTGTGACATTTAATAAAAATGTTATATCAGGGTTTAACTATCACTTCAACTTTATTAAGCCTCATTATCTTTAGCTTGAGGGACCACATGACTAATGATCGAAATATTAGAATTAATCAGCCAAGAAGTAATATTAGAATTAGAACTAACTCCGTAATTAAAATATATGGGCAATAGTTTGGTAATAAATTGAGACAAAGGCAATTTTGATAAAAGGGATGGATTCTGGTCTCAACCCAATGACTAGCAAAGCATAGCCGCTTTTTGCTGGGCCTAAATAATAGGGCATAGCCTGCTGGCCCCCATTTTGAATTGAGAATCCGATAAGCCCAATACCCCGAAAACGGGTCAGGATGACCCGGAATGCATCCAACCGTCCATCCTCCATCAGGTCATCTTGATCAATTCAATCTTTGGGCGCTCCAGCTCCCTGCGTTTGGTGGCGACAATTCCGATCCTTAAGTCCGGCAGCCGCCGGTGGCTATTTCTAGAATTCCGGTCATCCTTCCGATTTTCAATCCTCAAGCTCTAGCGTTGCAAGTCGTCTACCACAAGTTGGTTTCCTGCGATTCCACCCTCCTAGGGTTTTTGGGGCGCCATGACTTTTTCAGACGAAGAGGATGAGAACCTGGCATACTTTTTGGAATCGGAGGTTCTCTCTGAGGTCTCTGATCAGGTGCACCGATTAGTTTTGCTTGTTTTTCTTAACTTCAAATTTGACGTGGATTGACGATAGATTAGGGGTTTAAGTTGGTATTCGGATTTTTTTCCCTCGTAGCTGTACTCGAAATTAATCCATGCTGATATGGAAGGAAAATTGTTTGGTAAATAATATGAGTGATTGTTGTTGGCAGGAAGAAGAAAGTTTGGAGGAGCCCAAAGCAAAGAGAAAGCGAGTGGTAGTGGAGGCGGCTGAGATTACCGAGGAAGAAACCGAGAAAAATTCTAGTCCATCGCTGGAGTCTAAGAACGATAATATCAACAATAGCGTAGCGCCTAAAACTATCGAAACTGGATTTTTCAGCAAAATCCCGCCTGAACTTTTTCATCATATCCTTAAATTTCTCTCCTCCGAGGTATTTTTAAGTGAAAAAGAAGTCAATTAGTTATGACTCTTTATATGCTTAGTACATGGATTGTTTTCCTGGTTACTTTACTTGGTTGAAATTAGTTTGTTTCTATGCTCGCAGGACCTCGTTTCTTGTTCATTAGTCTGTAAATTTCTAAACTATGCAGCATCTGATGAAGCATTATGGCGTCGCTTGTAAGTATATTACTTTATTGTAGTTGGTTCGGTCCAAATATGGAGCTGTTTGGAACTTGGCTCCTTATGACTTTAATGAACTGATCTTAATTACATGTTTTGATATTCTTTGTTTTGGGACATGTGCACGGTTACATTTGTATGAACCATGAGTATGCCTATTGTCTACTTAAAAGGGTTCACATTCATGTAGGTACTGTATGCGTTGGGGTCTGCTTCCGCCTACAAGGAAATTAACGGAATGTCCATGGAAAAAGCTATACATCCAGGTACTTGAATCAATGATAACATCATGCAGTAAATGAACAATCCCAAAAACAATCTCTCTTTCCCTTCTAGTTTACCTACTGTTGTACTAGTTTGAGTATTATTGCACCAACAGACAAAAGTCATTCTCTAGCGAGTCTGAGAGTGTATATCATGATTCTCCTGTCTATCAATGGCTGCATGCATTGCATAATATATTAGGGACCACTATCCTGGCAATAATGAGCCAATCTAGTTTGTGACTGAGTATTTGTTAATTATTCATCTATGTGTACTTATCCATTTATTGATGTGCTGGAGTTGATCAATGTGAAGGCATTACTTTAAATAAATTTGAACCACCATATTAGCTGTACTTTATCATTCTTGAGTAACTCATGCATCTATTTTTCATATTTTGCGTGGATCTTGTCATTTATCCTACTTTTATGCAGCGTGATGAAGAGGACATGGCTGAACTTGTGAGAAACTGCTCAAATGAATTTAAAGAGTATTACATACAAATGCAAGCAGCTAAACGAAGCCAAGCACCTCTTCCTTCACAGGTAATGAGGGTATATACTATAATATGAAATTATATCCTCTGGCACTTTATGACCGTTATTAGTAATATAGTTTAAAGATTCTCTCAGTAGTCTTGAAAATAATATTGAAATGGAACAAAAGAAGAAGATACGACTCTGGTGGTTTTTCATATTTAAGTTCTGTTCAGTAGCCCTGCCCTTGAAGTTTGAAGAAATGAAATTGGAGAAGGGAGGAAAGAAGATCTAGAATCATATTCTAATGTCCATTCACCTCTATTTTTGTTGTTATTAACCTGAAATAGATACTTGTTGAGACAGAACTTTGCATTTTGAAAACATAAAAGTATGTCTGGTTTGAGAAAATGCTTCCAATTTTCAATCTTGAAAAAACACCTTTTGTTTTAATTTTTAAGTTTTCCTAAAGACTGCGATAACCTTTTTTAAATGCAACCTACTTAAAACAATGAGCGTTGAACTTCAGCCTCCTGCGACATTTGTTAAACATGAAATCCTTATATACACAACAACTGGCAAGTTGTCGCTCCAATGAGCTTATATACACAACAGTTGATAAGTTTTCGCTCCAATGAGCTTGAATCTGATCTGATTCTCGGTATTGCACATGTATATCTGAATTCTTGTCTGTTTTGTTTAATTACTTTATACTTTCATATAAGGGACGTTGCTTAACCATGTATGTTGATTTTCTGTTTCATATGTCAAGTTGAAAGATGATAGGATGATTCTTGACAAAACGGTAGCTGATCAAGTGTCTTCATGGAAAAGAAGCAGAGGCCTCAGTGATACAGTGGTGACTGATCATGCTTGCTCTGGCGAAACTTGCTCTTACCATCATATTGGAGATGTATTTATTTGCGAGAAGACTGGACATGTTCATGGTGGGACACGCCATTTCTTTTTGTGTTTTAATGATGTACAAAAGTTCATTATTTTATTTAAAAATTTGCGTCTGGACTAGATCTTCACTATTTTGTTTTCTTTTTCCCAGTATGTGATGATACATGTAGAGAAGTTGTTATGGACCCGGCCAATGAGCTTTTGGTCTGTACAATATCGGGGCACTGTTTTGATAGATTACTGTCACCATCCGAAATGGAGCCTGATGCTGTAAGTTAACGATTCCTCTGTCTTACATGTGTATTTTTCTTATTGAGATTTTGAATGACATTTCCTAGTAATTTATCTGTCCAAATATATCATATTGAGGTAGTGGGCCTTGACTTTACTGTCATGTGAGTGGAACTGCGTACAGAATCCAATGAGTTACGTTACCACATTTGCTTCAGGGTTTAGTTTCGTTAGTTTCATGAAACCAAGAAATAGATTGAAGCTTTTATTAGAAATTTGATGATTCACCTCATTTTATCAGAATTAAATTTAGAAACTCTTAACGGAGGTACAGTTTTTACACCTAATGCTTCGCCTTGTTCCTTTGGAAATTCAGGAGCAGCAACAAGGAGGTGTGACCGATGAGGCAGAACCATTTATGGGATCTGGTCGTTTTGGTAAAACAGATTCATTCTTTTACTAGTCTTCTGTATGGTTCTGTGTCTGAAACTCATTATGGTGCGTTTTTCTTTGCAGCACGAGCTTATTTACTGGGATATAATTGTGCTGATGAGAAGGAGCTTGAAGCTACTTTGAGGTTTTGCTGATTCCCATATTGATCTGCTGTGTGGTGGGGGTTTTGTCGTGGGCTCGTGGGTATGGTTTAAATGATCAAATTTATGGATGTATCTACCTATTTTAATTATAAAATAGATAGATAGATGTTTTCCTACATTAAGACGGTGACTTGTGATCATGGAGGCTCACCCAGCGTATGAATTTATGATTAGCCTTGTAATACTTTGCACCTGTTATTCCTTGTTAATAGACATTTGCTTTAATGTATAGTTGAATCCATTGTAGACGCTTTCTTCCCCAGTTACTGCTTACGGTAGTTTGAAAGAGAGAGGGAATTGTTGCAATTTGGGCTGCTAGTCTTCGGCTTTAAAACTGGTAGGTAAAGTGGCATACAGAAGAAGAGAAATATTGAGCAACAAACCTATGTTTATTTCCAAGAAAAATGGCTTTGGCAGGATAGAAAAGGGGGGTTGCGAATAAGTGGGAGAGGGAATGACTTGTTTGACCTCATTGGCATGCGTGATTCTTTTTCTTATGGAACGGAACATTTCTTAAACCAGCTCTCCGTCCATAAATGGTGGATTATGATCTGAGC